CGGTTGGGGATGCTCGTAAGCTTGCCACGGATTGTACTGTCAGATGTAATAGAATGAACAGGCTCTCGGCAGATATCTCATCAAGGACCTGATCCATTTGACGGAGACTGCAGGCCAGCAATGAGTACAGTATACGAACCACTCGTTCGATTTGAGAAGCGATTTACCCTATCCACAAAATTGTTTTGTAGGGTGCGTCTGGTAACATTTCACAAATAATATTCCATTTTCTGGCAAAATGGGATAACCAAAAATGCCATTTTCAAAATGGAGGTATGCTTAAAAGACCCATTTTGTAATATGGCGTTTTGGACCTCTTCAACGAGTATAATACTGTAAACCCCGCGTGGAATTATTGGATTTGGGTTAAATCTCTTCAAGCAAGATATGTTTCAATTTTGATCAGATTTGTTGAATTCGGTCCCAAAATGGCGTTTTGGGACTGAATATTGTAATATTTCATGTGGCCAGACGGGTCCTAACTAACTGTAGTGATGAGACTTTCGAAGGCCTTGCAGATTCGTACAATACTGTACTACAATGAGTGCTTGACTTCTTATGACGGTTCTACAGTGTACGTACGGTGATCGATTGGCTTAGTTTCTGAACGCTTACGATTTCAAGTACTTTCATTCGATACTAAACCTTACGCACAGTACAGTCTGTAGTAGGGTTTATACAGTAGTAGATTGGAGTGTCAATTTGGCTGTTTTCTGATTAATTCTGCATTCCTGGTAACTGCGAGGAGTAACTAGTTAAAGCAGGCACGCACACATCATTTTGCGCCTTCCAAACGATCTTTTACATTCTCGTGCGCATTTTAACCCCCGCAACACATGAGTCCAAAGCAACTGTGGGACAGACTTGTCAAGGTATCAGACGTATATTGCGGGCGGATGGATGCTCTGTCGTCGCTAACTACACTGTACTGTAAGTCTAGGTCAATGTTTTGTCCGATACTAGTAACATGTATCTCTCCCCGATTCTTCCTGTGATTCCCTAATCCTTGTGTGCACCCTATCCCACCTTCAACACTGATACAGTAGCTTATCCGAATTCACAATAACAGACTGTCTAACAATTCATACTATCTATTTTTGTTTCCTTATAGTCACGACACCCTTCTCACATTTCAATTTGCCAGCAACTGCAGCATGATCAAACCTACTTTCATCGCTGCATTTGCAGCTCTCACCACGGCCAAAATCGCCCCCAGCGTCCACCGCCACTTGGAATCCAATGAGGACGTGGATGTTGTGATTGAATTCAAAGGAGGCAACCAGCGCGCCCTGGAAGACGCTCGTCGTGAGCGGGCTAACTTTAACGATCGCGGCTCGAGCATCGCCCATGTGCGCTCCCTCTTGGAGAGCAACATGGAGACGTCCCAGCGCTCGGCGATAGAGCTGCTGTCGTCGCAGCCCAAAGCCTTGACGACCCGTGTCGAGAGCTACTATATCAACGGCAACATGCATGTGTACGGCGTCACCCCCGACGTGGTGGACGAACTCGCCAAGTTGGACAATGTGGCTCGCATTCGTCGTCCGGTCGCGGCGCAAGTCAGTTCAGTCACCTCCGAGGACGACGAATCTGACGTGGAGATTCCTCAAGGATGGGCTGACAACAATACAACTTCTGGACGAGCTGCGAACGAATGGGGTATCGACCTCATCGGCGCCCCTGCGGTGTGGGCTAATGGCAACCGTGGCGAAGGCATCGTGGTTGGTATAATCGACACTGGTGTCTTGCATACCCACGACGACTTGAAGGGAAACTGGAGATCCACCTACGGCTGGTTCGATGCCATTGAAAAGTCCCCAACCCCTATCGACATTGACGGCCATGGCACCCACATCGCGGGCTCAGCTGTTGGCCAAAACGGCATCGGCGTAGCTCCGGGTGCCACGTGGATAGCTTGCCGCGGATGCTTGACCCCCGCCTATTGCGCAGAAGAGGTGCTCATTGCATGTGCGCAATGGATGATGTGCCCGACGGATGCGACGGGCAAAAACCCCAAGTGCGAGTTGGCGCCTGACGTCATCAACAACAGCTGGGGAGACGAAGTGAATTCTAATGCATACCAAGCCGTCGTGGACGCGTGGCGCGCTGCGGACATCATTCCCGTGTTTTGCAACGGCAACACTGGTTCTAAATGCTCAACGACGTGGACTCCAGCTGGTTACAAGAATGTTATTGGAGTGGGTAACCTGGGCTTCGACGACAAGCTGTCGACAAAAAGCAGTCGCGGGCCAATGGCAGACGGTCGAATCAAGCCCGATGTGTCGGCTCCTGGGACTGAAATTCTTTCAGCGTCGAACACTGGCAATTCGGAATACAAGATCAAGTCGGGCACGTCCATGGCGACTCCTCACGTCGTTGGTGCCATTGCCCTCTACTTGTCTGCCAACAAGGGCGCCAAGTACGATTCAAGTGTACAAAGCGTTCACGACCACTGCAGACACGGCCACGTTGACTCCAAACAACGAGAACTGTGGGGGGGTGTCGGATTCCAAGTACCCCAACAACAACTACGGGTTTGGACGCATCAACGTCGCTAGTGCAATTGGTGGTGCAGTTGCCCCCCCTTCCAACACCACCTCTGCCCCATCACCGTCAAAGCCCCGCAACACCACCTCTGCCCCATCGCCGTCAAAGCCCCGCAAC